TTATTCCAATTAAATAAAATCACAACACAAATAACTAAATATCATAAATTTGTGCGGAATTAATATTAATGAAGAAATTTCTTAAATTGTCACCAAAATTTTAATTTCTCCTATTGAAACTGCTAAAATTTAATTTTTGTTTTACATATTACCATTTACTCACACACCTATCTTTCTTAAATCAAATAAAATTTACTTACATAATACTTTATCGTGATAAATTCCATATGCAATTGCTACATCCAATTTACCTTACGAATTTTTAATCGAATTAATAAGTAATATATCATTTTACAAATCTATGTTGTAAAAGTATTCAAATTTTAATACACACTGAACTTTTTAATTTACATTAAATCACTTATCAAAAAAAAAATTTACATTAAATCAAATATATAACCAATAAGGAAGAAGAAGCTGTAAAAATGCTGAAGAAAAAAAGAGGGAAACTAGTGAAAAAATAATGCTGTGAGTGTTTAAATATGGTATGAACTGCAAGAATTTAGAATTGAAAAACTAATTCTTAGCATCAAAAAATTGAAGAAAACCAGCTGAAAAAATGGTTGGGAGAACGCTGGGAAAAAAGGGCGAAGCAGGGTGTTTTTGTGCAAATACTGTAAGCTCACTGCATATATGGTTAGCGCAATGCAAATACGGTGAGCTTCGTGTAAATACAATATTTCACTATTTTCCATTTCAAACCAGTGAGACTCTTGAAAATCCGGTAAGCAAGTAGCATATATGGTGTGGAAGAAGTAAAAGCGATAGTGAATGTGCAAATACGGTATTGAACATGTAAATCCGGTAAAAAACAAAATCAATTCTCTTTGAATCAATTCGAAATCAAATATGGTAAGCTTAAAGAAAATTCGATAAGTTATGTTAAAATCGGTAAGCAACAGCTTCAATCAACAATTGTGGGAATGATAAAATAAGGAAAAGTTTTAAATCAAAAAAGGAGCTCCACAGTAAAAAAAAAAAAATCTCCCCGTGCGCGCACGGGGAGATCACATCTCCCTGGGAGATACGTCTCCCCGTGCACGCACGGGGAGATCTAATTTTTTTTTTTAACTGTTCAAAACAAAACATTCAAAATCAAGATTTTTCAATTTAACCTTGATAAACACGAAGAAGGGCAAAAAAAGAAGTCCCAAACTCTTGATCTACTTGCAGGTGGACCAAAACTTTACTCTTAGATCGACAAAAATTATTCATGCAAACCTACCAAACACCATTTGCTACCACATCAAAATTTGATATTGTCAAATGGCCCCAGATGATAGAACCCTGTCCTTTTAGCTTCAAAGTCAAACACCAATTACACCACGTTCCCATGCAGTGAATGCACGGGGAGATGATGACCTCCCCGTGCGCACACGGGGAGTTCAATTCTCCCCGTGTGCGCACGGGAATGTCGAATTTCTTTTTTTTTTTAACTAGTCATAACAAAAGAATTCAAACGAAATATTCAATTATTTAAGAAGATAACCAGCATGCATGCATTTGATAACCTAATAAAAATATGAACATAAAAAAATATGGTTGAACACAAATTACGAAGGTAGATATAGCTACAACCATCAACAAGTGAGCCCACAATCAGTAGAAACAATAAAATGCAAATTACATCAAAATCCAAATTACATAAACGCTGGCTAAAATGTTTAATAGAATGAGTAAACAACCGACTTATGGACTCCATTGAAAGGATATAACCATTACAATTACAGTATGAACCTTACCCAATTGAGATTGTTTTGCAGCTTCACGGCAAGAGAGAAAGAG